AAGAACAAGAGGACACAGATTCAAGCTAAGTAAACATAGGTGTCAAAAAAATATTAGAAAGTTTTCTTTTACAAACAGTAGTAGACAGTTGGAACAAGTTAAGTGAGAAGTGTGGCAGTTTTGGTGGAGGCCAAAACTGCCAGTAGTTTCAAAGTATAAATGACAGATGGGAAATTGTGATATCATCCTGTAACTAAACTTAGTTAATTACCAAAGTTACCTAATTACTTAGGTAATTAGCTCTTAGGGAGCTGAGAGTGTGAGAGCCATTGAGAAAATGGGGGAGCTATTGAGTGAGTGAGAGACTGTAATTACCTTAGTGTAGTTACAGGATGAGAGCTACACTCGTGGTGACCCATCTTCCCAGTACTCCTCTTTGTATAACGTTGTGTAACGCTTTGAAACTACTGATGGTTCTGGCCTCCAACACCTCACTTAGCTTGTTCCAACTGGCTACCATTCTGTTGGAAAAAAAAGAAAATTTCCTAATTTTTGGGGGCACCTTTGTTTCCTTAGCTTTAATCTGAGTCCTCTTGTTCGTGGTGTTGCTGGTTTCAGGAATTCCTCTTCGGCAATTTTGTAGATTCCTGATAATATTTTGTAAGTAGTGATTATATCACCTCTTTTTCTTCTATCTTCTAGTTTTGGCACGTTTAATGCCTTTACTCTCTCCTTGTAACTCGTGGTGTAACCTTGTAGCGTGGTGTTGCACCTTTTCCAGTTTATTTATATGCTTCTTGAGATTTGGGCACCATGCAACTGCTGAATATTACAATTTTGGTCTCCACAAAAGTCATGAACAGTTTTAATATTTCATCATCCATATAATTAAAAGCAACTCTGAAATTGGAATGCGCCGTCTATGCTCCTCTCACAATGTTCTTTGTGTGATCCTCTGACAACAGCTTACTTTCCAAACCCACCCCTAGGTCTCTTTCTTTATTAGAGTTCTGTAATTCCTTTCAACATAATTTGTAAGTTGTGTGTGGTCTATTTTCTCCAATTCCAAATTTCATATGGATTTTATTCACACTGAATTACATTTGCCACTTTAAACTCCAAGAACTTATTTTATCTAGATCGATTTGAGGGGCATGACAATTGTCTGCATCTCCTATCTTTCCTCAGTATTTTAGCATCATCCGCAAACATGTTCATATAATTCTGTATTTCTTCTGGTAGATTGTTCATGTAGATGATGAACATTACTGGCGCAAGAACTGAACCCTGTGATACTCCACTAGTAACACTCCTCCAGTAGGATACATTCTCGTAATACTGTCCTCATATGTCAAAAAAAATTTCATCCTGTCAGAAGTCTCCCTGTCAATCCTCCAGCATGTTCCAGTTTCCAGAACAGCCTCTTGTGTGGAACTCTGTCAAAAGCCTTTTTAGATCCAAATAGACAGTTAATCCAACCACCTCTTTCCTGTATCTATCATAAAAACTAAGAGTTGTTACACAGGACCTTCTTGTTCGAAAACCATACTGTCTGTCCGTTATGTGTACTCTTTAGGTGTTAAATCCATTTGGCTTTAACCATTGTTTCTAGTGTTTTGACTACCATGCTTGTTAATGACATGGGTTTAATTAAAATTTAGAGGTTCCTCTCGACTATTATTTTTATAGATGAATACTATGTTGCCTTTTTCCATATATCTGCAAGATTCATGTGCACAAATATGTCTGGAATATTAATTGGAATGGAATGATCAGTTTAGTTGCACATTCGTGCAGCACCCAGAGTTGAAAAACCTTCAGATCCACCTGATTTATTTCTTCCTAGCTCCTCGAGTAATTTTTCCACTTATTCTAATACATCATAAGTATACTCTATAGCGTACTCTGGAATTGGTATTGGGTCCGGCTCTCTGAAATCCTTATTTTGTACACACACACACTTTGTAACTTTTCATTTAGCATTTCACACATTTCTTTTTCATTCTCAGTAGTCCTGTTCCCCGTTCTCAATATCCGGATTTTATCCTTTACCTGCAGCCTGCTTTTAATGAATATATATAAAAGGCGTGGATCTGTTTTATATTTGTCCTCCATACCATTCTCAAAGTTCCTTTCTGCCCCTCTCCTCATTGCTGTGTAATTGTTTCTTGCTTTCTTGTAGTGCTGGTATGTTTGAGGGTTAGGCCTCTTTCTATATTGGACCCTTTTTCTTGTCTTTTCCTCTCTGGCCCACTCACAATTTCTGTTGAACCAATTCTGTTTTCTGGTCCTGCATCTCCGTTTCGGTATGAATGTGTGTGTTCCTTCAACGTATATTTTGCAAAATTTGGCATGCATCTCATTACTTCCTTGTCTAGTAAAACTTGAAGAATTTTCTAAGTTCCCCATAGTGTCCTCTCTTGAAATAGTTTATCAACCTTTTTAATGTCTCCATTCTCCTAGATTATATCACAAAGCATATTTAATTTCCAACAGGACATGATCACTCTTTTCTAAGGGAGGAAGGTACTAGATGTCAAATATCTTCTTACCTGGTGAATATTAGATCCAGTATTGATGAAACATCCCCTTCCTCATTCTTGTGGCTTGTTTGGTTGTTGATGTGTGTGTGTGTGTACAAGTGTTTTTTTATTTAATGTAGGATATCTTCAGCCATAGTTACATTCTTCATATTAGGTTAGGTAGGTCTTTTCAATCCTTCACTAAATTACAACTGAAAATTTCAACAGTTCTTACTAATAAAATACTTAGTTAAGTTTTTGCTAAAGCTTCTTCGTCCCCAATTTAATTCTCCACCTTAAGGTGATAATTATATTAAGCAGGTGTTTTTAGTCCTATACACCAAAAACTAAATTTCTCAACAATTCTTACTATTAAATTGACAAACTTGGTAGACTCCAAGATGTTGCTGAAGGGCAGTTTCCAAATGTCGGATGTATTGAGTTCTTAACTGTAGACATAAAGGGGTGAGCCCTTTCAAACATTCTTCACCTTCCAGCAGCTAACTATCGACTTGATGTAGCAGCCATAAATTCTCACTTAGCGGCTCCTGTTGGGAGAAACACATTTAAATTTCTTAAACAGATTAGTTTGTCAAGCCCCCAAATTCACTTTGTCGTCAAATTACTGTACATAGCCCCTTGGGAATATCGTGTCATTTACATTTTTATCTTCCAGTTTTGTCTCGGCTAGTGCAACAATATCCAGCATCTTAAGTTGTATTATATCATTTAACTCCAGTATTTTTTTGCCTTACCCTGTTAATTTTGGTATACACAATTTTCAGGAACATGTTCCCCTTCTCCTTCGTCCTTTTCAGTTCTTTCCTCTAATGAGTTTGTTGATTTGCTTTCGTGTACCATCTCACTAGCTTCCCGATCCCTATCACCTAGTAGAAAAAAAAATTCATTCCTGATTTCTATTCTCATTTAAGGGTTTTCCTTCAGCAAGGTCTGTTTCATCTTCCGTCTTCCCTAGATAAGTTTTCGTCTTACAGCCCATCCTCATAAACAAAGGCCAAAGTCCATACCATGCACCTGCCAAACCCCCCCTGTTTATGAATGAAAAACGGTTTACACGTGACTCACAATTGATGACGTCTGAACACTTCTGGAACAAGTACTTCGCTGATGACTTTTGTTCGAACCACAACGCTGTAAATGCTGCATCTCATGTACTACAAAACAAACAATCCCAAACAGAATCTAAACACCTAACCTAAGTAATGCCTAAATGTGCACAATAAGCTAATAATGTATATAATAATAATAATAATAATAATGTATATTTGAAAAAATTTGTTTTGAATGAACAGCATGTTAAAATTGATGAATACTGTACGTCCATTCCACTGGATGGAATGGACTTTGTCTGAGGACAAGTTGCATCTTAATGACCATTGTTTTCCATCCTCATCATTTTGCAATTTCTTGGCATTCCAGAGTACTTCTGTCATTTGCTTCACTCCATTCAATGTCACCCATAAGGGGCGAGTCTTCCCTTTTACATATTTTCCTATCTCCGAAAATCACTGACATTTTCCTACATTGACAGGCCTTTCCCTAAACCTACTACAGTATTTCCTCAATTATATTTTCCTCTTCTGATGTTCTTTTCACCCTAGATGGTATCTCCTTTTCCAAACATCCAAAAATTATTATAGACATCTATCTACAGTGTTCTGTACTAATGTACAAGAGTGAGTGCGCGAGAGTGAGTGGGAGAACGCATGCAAGATTGAGAGCGAGTGCATATGTGAAAGTGAGTGTGAAAATAAGAATGAAAGTGAGAAAGTTTGAGTGGGAGAAGGCAAGTTTGTGAGCAAGAGAACGTGAGTTACATAACAGATATAATAAAGGAAATAGGTAGTCACTACATTAGACAACGGAAGGATAGAAAGCTGGGAACAAATAGTAAACACACACAATTATACGTGTTTAGTTTCTTTATGAGTTTTGCACACATGTGCAGCCACATTCTATACACAGGCATGCCCATTCAGCTGCATGTACAGTATACATTCACGGGAAGACGGGACACCATAATCGTAGCTCTCGTCCTGTAACTACTTAGGTAATTACTAACACACATGCACAGACACAGGTAAATTCAGAGAAATATACAAACATTCACACACATTTATTATAAATAATATTTTTTAATCTGTTATAGATCATAGATAAGAATTAGATTTTCAAGCATATTTGCCAGAATGGATAAGATTTTAATTTCCCTCATCCTCCCCCACTCGCCTCCTCCCTCACACCTAAAATATTTGAGCTTCATATTCCATTAATAGATTGTGAAGTGCAATTAATGCTCTTCAACAATTTGCATTCATTTGGCTGAATTAAAAAACAAATGGGGAATTTTGTAAAAGTTTAAATTTATTCAGCAACTGCATTACTGAAAGTGTTTGATTTAAAAATACTTGAATATTCCATAACTGTTAATCTTATCTTCTCTGGAAATTGCTTTTTTCACATTTCCCCGGGTGTCTGAGTCAGACAACTAACATTTTTCCTTATGCGTTGACCCAGCACCTCCCTACAGGACTCGGACGATGAGCCAGCACACCACAACCAGCAAAAAGAGAGAGGAAGTGTCAGACCAACGAGCAATTCTACCCGTCCCCCAGGAGTGTCGCCGCCTGGTTCTTCTCCTGCACCATCTCCACTCCCCAGTACCAATAATGACGGACACAAGTATCACAGTGAAGCCAAAGAGGGCCCAAGGTCCAGGTACTGTACTTATATCAGTTGTGTTTTCAGAGGCAGGCAACAAGTCACATTAATGTGGCTGAAAATTAGACACCCAACCCCCCACAAATGAAAATAAATGAAGTGGTGATGTTTCAGTCCATCCTGGACCATTATCAAGTCTGTGGGACCATGAGAATGGTCGCATGACTTGACAATGGTCGCATGACTTGACAATGGTCGCATGACTTGACAATGGTCGCATGACTTGATAATGGTCACACTACAGTAATTGATAATGGTCACCCGACTTGCTGGTGGTCACACGACTTACTGATGGTCGCACTACTTGATGATGGTCCAGGATGGACTGAAATGATATTTCAATTATTTTCTGATGTGTGAGTTAGGAGTCTAATTGTGTTTTCTTTTAGCTTGGTGTTGTGAATTGTGATTTATGGCATTTTATGGTGTGAATTGTGATTTATGGCATGTTAATAAGATAGTTTTATAAGAAGTGTGTCCTAAAGTTTTTCCATATTTGCTTGCTTACAGTATTTATACTCCAAGAGTAAGTGCCTCAGTAAATCACTTGAAACTTAAAATTGTTTGATACACTGTAATTACCCAAGTGTAGTTACAGGATGAGAGCTACGCTCTTGGTGTCCCGTCTCCCCGGCACTCTGTCATATAACGCTTTGAAATTACTGACGGTTTTGGCCTCTACCACCACCTCACCTAACTTGTTCCAACCATCTACCACTCTGTTTACAAAGGTGAATTTTCTTATATTTTTCCAGCAGCTTTGTTTCATTAGTTTAAATCTATGACCTCTTGTTCTTGAAGTTCCGGGTTTCAGGAATTCTTCCCTATCAATTTTATCGATTACTGTTACTATTTTGTACGTAGTGATCATATCGCCTCTTTTTCTTCTATCTTCTACTTTTTGCATATTTAATGCCTCTAACCTCTCCTCGTAGCTCTTGTTCTTCAGTTTTGGGAGCCACTTAGTGGCATGTCTTTGCACCTTTTCCAGTTTGTTGATGTGCTTCTTAAGATATGGGCACCATACAACCACTGCATATTCCAGCTTTGGTCTAATAAAAGTCGTGAACAATTTCTTTAGTATTTCTCCATCCTTGTATATAAAAGCAATTCTGAAGTTAGAAATTGTAACATAGGCTTCACATACAATATTCTTAATGTGGTCCTCAGGTGACAGTTTTCTATCTAGAACCACCCCTAGATCCCTTTCTTTGTCGGAATTCTTTAAAGATTTCTCGCATAATTTATAGGTTGTGTGTTCTCCAATTCCACATTCCATAACATGGCATTTATTCACATTAAATTCCAGTTGCCAAGTGTTGCTCCATATACTTATTTTGTCCAGGTCTTCCTTGAAAGGCATGACAATCATCTAGGTTTCTTATCATCCCTATTATCTTAGCATCATCAGCAAACATGGTCATATAATTCTGTATTCCATGTGGTAGATCGTTTATGTAGTCAATGAACATTACCGGTGCAAGAACTGAACCCTGTGGTACTCCGCTTGTGACATTTCTCCAATCCGATACACTTCCTCTTATTACTACCCTCGTTTTTCTATCAGTCAGAAAATTTTTAATCTATGTTAGTAGCTTACCTGCCACTCCTCCACTGTGTTCCAGTTTCCAGAACTACTACTTATGTGGAACTCTGTCGAAAGTCTTTTTTTAGGTCCAGATAGATGCAGTCAACCCAACCATCCCTTGCCTGTAAAATCTCTGTGGCTCATTCATAGAAACTGAGTAAATTTGATACACAGGATCTACCAGTCCGAATGCCATACTGTCTGTCTGATATTATATCATTTCTCTCCAGGTGTTCTACCCATTTAGTTTTAATTATTTTTTCCAATATATTGACTATTACACTTGTCAATGATACAGGTCTATAATTGAGGGGATCTTCCCTGCTGCCACTTTTGTAGATTGGAACTATGTTAGCCTTTTTTTCCACACATCTGCTACGACTCCTGTACACAGGGATGTCAGAAAAATTAGCTGAAGTGGTATGCTGAGCTCAGGTGCACTCTCTCAGAACCCATGGTGAAACTCCATCTGGGCCAACTGCTTTGTTCTTACTTAGCTCCAATAGCATTTGTTTCACTTCGTCTCTAGACACCTCTATGTTGTTCTCTGAAATTCTTATTGTGTCTGGTTTCCTGAAGATCTCATCTTGTACAAACACACTTTTGAACTTTTCATTTAATGTTTCACACATTTCCTTTTCATTTTCCATGTATCTGTCTCCCATTTTCAACCTCTGAATATTATCCTTTACCTGCAGCTTGCTTTTAATGAATTTATAGAAAAGGCCTGGATCTGATTTACATTTGTCTGCTATAGCGTTCTCAAAGTTGCTCGCTGCCTCTCTCCTTACTGATGTGTGGTTGTTTTTCGCATCTTTGTATTGCTGGTATGTTTGGGGGTTTGGCCTCTTCCTATAATGATTCCATTTTTTGTCTTTTGGTCTCTGGTCCTCTTGCAATTTCTGTTGAACCAACTCTGTTTCCTATGTCTGCATCTCTGATTTGGTATGAATGTTTGTGTGCCTTCAAAGTATATTTTGCAAAATATGTTATACATCTCATTTACTTCCTTGCCTAGCAACAAGTCTGTCCAATTATGCCCAGAAAAAAATTCCAAGTTCCCAATAGCGTCCTCTTGAAATAGAGTTTAACAGCTGTTTCAATGCCCCCATTCTCTACTAGATTATATTGCATAGCGTATTAAATGTCCAAGAGGACGTGATCACTCTTTCCCAAGGGAGGAAGGTACAGTACTGGTACTTTCCCAAGGGTACAGTACCTCGGGAGGGACACGAACAAGAGGACACAGGTGGAAACTTAGTGCCCAGATGAGCCACAGAGACGTTAGAATTTTTTCAGTATCAGAGTAGTTAATAAATGGAATGCACTAGGAAGTGATGTGGTGGAGGCTGACTCCATACACAGTTTCAAATGTAGATATGATAGAGTAGGCTCTATCCAGTAGGCTCAGGAATCTGTGCACCAGTTAATTGACAGTTGAGAGGCGGGACCATAGAGCCAAAGCTCAACCCCCGCAAGCACAATTAGGTGAGTACTGGATGTCAAATACCTCTTCTTCTTTCCTGGTGAATATTAGATCCAGTACTGACGGAACATTCCCTTCACTCATTCTTGTGGCCTGTTTGATGTGTTGATACATGAATGTCTCCAAGATGAGGTTGACAAATCTGCCTGTCCAAATGTCCTCTGTTCTTGTCTTGTAGGCCTCCCAGTCTATTGCCTTAACCACTGTGATTCACTGAGTTTATTGTGAAATTCCCCCTGTGCGCATGTAATGAAGTGTTCCCAAAAAATGATTTTTTCTTATTAAAATGATGAATACCCTTCCCTGAACATGTCTATGTAAAAATAAATGTCAAATTCCACTTACTTTGACCATGAGGACGTGGACAAGGTGCGCTGTGACGTCATCAGGGGCTGGTCGCCCAAGCGTGAAGCTCCCAGACACAGTCGCGCGGGCCATTCAAGCACCGCGTGTTGCCACAAATATATTTTCAATTATTTGTTCTATGTATTTCCAGTGCAGTTTGATTTTTTTTTTTTTTATCCTATATGATGCATATTTGTGTCCTTTACAATATGTATACAGTAGAACGTTCATAATGTTCCATGGCACTGTGACACATGTCAGTAATGTGTCCACAATAAATGTTTATTGTCGCAATATTACTTGTTCAAAATTCCCTAAAATTACAATATGTACAGTTTCACACACTATTTGCACAGTAACACACTGTATTACACACTCAGTACTTCGGAAGTGAGTAATAATCAACGAAGTAGTCCATGGTACACAGCGCGACTTCACTCTCGTTGCACCAGATACAGATAGATTTTTGCTTACTGTTTCTTAATTCTGTGTGCTTGCAAATAACGCACTCACGTACACCCTTGGCTTTAGTACTTCTAGGTGGTATGTAGCCAAGCCTGTAAGGCATAAGGTAGTATTAAAAACATTATAGGAAAAGATCAACTTGTAAGGTAGTCTTGAAAAGATCGCATTGTAAGGTCCTACACAGGAAGAGATTCAACCACCCTCGAAGAGTGTCCGTCAATCTAAAAGAGATTCAGGCATTCTGGAAGAGATTCAGCTATTCTTGAAAATATCTATGGAAAACACCACCATGGAAGCCGCTAACACTGTTCATCTATGCTACTTGTATCAGATGCATCATCACTGAACACATGAAACGATTCATCTATGTATCATCTATATTAGTTGGAGATGGCATTGGTGGGCAAGGGTGGCGCTCAGAGTTACAACTGGATACGCTTGCTGTATCTTCCTCATAAGTGCTGTATTACTTGCATCCGACCTTTGTGTTAGGTCCATATTATGCCTGTCTTCACCAATATCATGACCCTTATGTTCTTCAAACAATAAGGTTTGAATTTCACCGACAACGCGATTTTTAAATGCCCTGTTGGACTGGTGTTTGGGAGCCAGAGGTGCATGTGCCACCCATGGTTGCTCACTCAGTACTAACTTAGCCAACAGCCCTAGGGCATCCTGGGAATTTTTTCCAAGATGGCTGCCTCTCACTGGAGGAGGTGAGGTCCTAAGAGTCCATTTCATACACAACCAATTGGCACACATTTTGAATGGGTACAAAAAAATCAGAGTTTTCTCGGATGGCGCAATTTCCCACCGAAATTTCCCCAACCATTTTCTCGGTTGGCGCAGTCCAGTGGGTAAAGTTAAAGTCCCCCAGTACCAACAATCGGGATTTATCTTTGTCAGCTCTTACCATAATCTCTCATGACCATTATGAGGGCCCTCTCGTTTGTCATCCAGTTCTTCCTTTGTCAATGTGCTGCTTGCTGGTGGGCTGTAGGCATTTAAAATTGTCAGCTTATCATCTTGATTCCAAACCTGCAAATGGCATGATGTCAATATCTCGAGGGTTTCAATTATTAACTCTTACCTTCTGGTGTTCTTTCACCAGCA